TTTTCTACTAACATTAACCTACAATATTGTACATCAAAATCTATAAATACGTGTTGATTTTCCGTAATAAACGTTCTGTTGCCTGGCCCTTGTCTTCTGTTGGTACAACATGGCTTCAGAAGTGATGTGCCACGCGCTTCTAGTTACGAAAGGATCATGGAATGTGAGCATTTTGGTTGATAAGTGACTACTGAACTTATCCCAAGCACTTGATCTGATTATAAGCGAAGCTGTATCTTAGTAACACCTTGGAATATGTATAAGATACTGATGGATATTCCTCATTACAGTTAAATTTGACGGAATAGGATTCTGTGCGAGGTTAAACAAGTTGTGTTGTGGAAACGAACTATCATCACAAATACTGTCGTAGAAGAACCTATTCTAATGTCATTAGTATTCGTAATGCTTATTACCTTTTAAAGACACTCTGAGTAATCCACTTATCATTAAACGACATGCAATTATGGAGAGTCATGAAAACGACCCATTTAGATTTCAGTGTGGCCTGAAAGTCTGGTCAGTGAAAAGAATTGTTCGACTACATCCATCTGCGCGTGATTGAACGGAAAGCCAACCTTTGCATATATGGAAATCACCTAGTCAATAAAGTGATGCAGCAAGTTTATGGTTACTTCTGACATAAGAACTGTTCACAAGCAAAAAATAACCAGCGAATGGAGTTCAGATTAAAACAGTTATATGAAAAAGAGAAGACATTCAACGAAGAGACTGTTTTCGGCGAATTCATTCACATAGCTGTACAATCGCATTTATATATAATTATTTGTGTGTGTGTGTGTACATGAGGTTTGTCAAGTTTAGATAATTGATCAGTTAATACAAGAATAATGTAGTATAGAGATAAAGTTAATCGGACAGCAACTAAAGTAAGATTGAGTTAGTAAGCTAGATGACTTAATATAATTGACTAAAATGTTACAACTTAGGTCAGGATAGGTCAGGAATTCGCCGAAAAGAGTCTCTTTGCTGAATGTCTTCTCTTTTTCATATGACTCAATGGGGATTTTCAATCTACTCAAACGTTGCAAGGATCGAGTGACAGTGAAGGAGCTGGATGGTTTTCTGCGTTACTCCGTCAAGCTTGCGGTAGCGAAGACAAAGATTGATTTCTTAAGAGATTGTATAGATCGACATGAGTATCCAAAGATGTATTGGAAGTCACTCAGACGCAACCACATCCAACCGAATACCAGAACACTCAGACGACACACATGAAACAACATCGACTCCATTCAATCACGCGTCCCCGAGCTACAGCGAAACGTCTACTCAAGAGCTCATGCAGTCGAAGACTTAGATCAACAACTACGCCATTCCTTCGAAGAATATGTACAACAAGTCACTCAGAAAGAATGTAACATGACTAGAGCAGATCTTCTCAAAAGCCTAAAGCCTACAATTAATACCGAATCTCCGTTCCCAAGCAATCCAGAAAAGTACGTATTCAATCTTTCAGACATCACACTGTCTACTACTCGACTAGAGGCACTATCTCTAGGTCCAAAATTCTGCGTAAAACCACCAAGTATTGACAAGCTACAATGCCAGGTTCAGTTCGAAAATCTACTAAACCAAACTTACGATCTTACACCTACATCAGACGAAAAACTACAACAACTCAAAGCATCAATCCTCTACTGTTGTCACAAGTTTATAAATACCAAACACAACGGAAGGTCCATCTTGACGAAGAGGCACCATAAGGAGCTGAAAGAACTTATGAAAAACGAAGAGATTATGATATTACATCCTGATAAAGGCGGTGGAATCGTAATCATGAATCGCAAGGACTATATCAGTAAAATGCTGACTATACTATCCGATGAATGCAAATTCACAAAACCGATCAACGAGAAAAACATGACTGAACAGACCGAACAAAAGCTAACGGACACCCTCCGTAAGTTAAAGACTGAATCTTTCATCAGCAACGGAACGTTTGAATCCCTTAGACCATCTGGCTCATATATACCACGACTTTACGGACTCCCGAAAGTACACAAGAAGGGTATCCCTCTTCGACCGATCCTCGACATGACCAATTCACCCTATCACCGCACAGCTCAATGGTTGGCAGATCTACTTGAACCAATCAGAAGACAAGTTTCCTGCCACACAGTTCGAGATTCATTCGACTTTATCGACTCAGTCGAAAACATCAACGTATCCAGCAAGACAATAATTTCATTAGATGTCACATCACTATTCACAAACGTTCCACTGACTGAAACAATATGCTATATATGCGAACTTATTCACTCCACAGGAATAAACATCGGTATACCCACCGAGCATCTTAAAGAACTCCTACTGAGGTGTACCCTGAACGTTCAATTCTCTTTCAAAAAAGAAATATATCGCCAAAAGGATGGTGTAGCTATGGGCTCACCACTAGGCCCCTTGCTTGCAGATTTCTTCATGGCAAAACTCGAAAACACATGTCTGAAGAAAATGATCAATACCTTCGAAATCTATACAAGATACGTTGACGACACCTTCATTATCGTCAACAACGAAGAAAATCTAGACGACATCTTAAAGTCGTTTAACAACTGCCACCCTGCAATTCAGTTCACGATGGAGAAAGAGTCCAACTCCACAATATCCTTTCTTGACGTCCAACTAACAAGAAGAGAACAGGATGGAACACTGAAAAGGTCTATCCACAGAAAATCGACGTGGAACGGACAGCTTACTAACTTTCACAGTTGGGTACCACTATACACCAAACGAAACCTGATCCGTTCACTCAGCTATAGAGTTCGCAGTATTTGCACCCCGGACACCATAGGAGATAAACTGGACAATCTCAAGAGAATCCTCGTCGAGAATTGCTATCCAGAAAGATTTATTGCAAAATCTATGAATCCTAGACCAGAAAAGCAGCCCATGCTTAGCGTCCCGAAAAAACTAATATACATGAACCGTCAATTCAACGGAGATTTATTTGCGGAAACACTAAAAAATCGACTGTCGCACTCACTTAAGAAGACCTTCTTCGCAGCTGAACTACGACTAACCTTCTCCACAAAACCTATGATTCATGTCAACGTGAAGGATAAGCTACCGCTGCCGGCCTCATCAATGTGCATTTGTCAATTCACCTGCTCATGTGGAGCCAGGTATGTCGGCCGTACACAGCGCTCGCTTTCCAAACGTACCACCGAGCACTTACCAGCATGGTTTTACAAAGGAGAACATCTGATAGAATCCGGACACCAAGCTACACCGCAAACAAACTTCAAAGTCGTCTACAGAGTAAGAAGTAGTCTTCCTAAAGGTGCACGAATCAGACTTCTTCAAACTGCAGAAGCAATAGCGATTCACTTGCTAAGTCCTGAACTCTGCATACAGAAGAAGTTCGTTCAACCACTACACTTACAATGGACGTAATCTATCTTACTAGCCAACGAGTAAATTCTACCTAATCATTTCTTCCGTCTCTTCATTAGTATTATTTTGCCTTCTCAATTGTAATATTTTACATTTTCAACTTTCTTGTTCTCTACCCCCACCCGATTCAATTTCTACACCTCACTACCACTGTTACTTACTTGAACAACGCTCAGTTTCTAGTCATTTATGTTACATCATCCAACTTATTTACTCAATTTCACTTCTACTTAATCTCTACCTGTAATTACCTCTGTTGCTATCCTGACCTAAGTTGTAACATTTTAGTCAATTATATTAAGTCATCTAGCTTACTAACTCAATCTTACTTTAGTTGCTGTCCGATTAACTTTATCTCTATACTACATTATTCTTGTATTAACTGATCAATTATCTAAACTTGACAAACCTCATGTACACACACACACACAAATAATTATATATAAATGCGATTGTACAGCTATGTGAATGAATTCGCCGAAAACAGTCTCTTCGTTGAATGTCTTCTCTTTTTCATATGACTCAATGGGGATTTTCAATCTACTAAAACAGTTATGATTTTCATGTCATGGAGGTTAGGTGTTGGCATCTATACTGCTACTATATCCACATAAAACTCGTGAACGTTTTCATCACTAAGTCAACAAAGATGTTGAGGAGTGACTACTTAACGTGAGCATATATTCCAAGGCAGGGAGAAAAGTGGTTGTGGAGAGAATTTAGATTGAGGGAACAAAATCAATCTTTTGCCATTTTTCTATCACTTTTGTCAGCTCTTTTACGCTTCCAACATTTTCATTTCTATCCGACAGTATCGTTTTCCTTCCTCGAAATTTTGATAATATCTATTCAGTCTCTATCAGTTTGTTTTCATACTGTTTCCTCCAGCTGCCTCCTTCTTTGTCGATTATGATAATTGTTACTCACTACGTCCGTTGTGTGGTTGAACTATATATTAAATCCACTTATAAATAACATTTCAACTTATCAGAATTCCTGTTCAAATACAAATACGGTTAAAAATGTATCTACATCATAACTTCTATTCTCATAGAAGGTTCTGTTAGTTTTTTAGGTGAGTTCCATGTACTGATAGCATTCACTTGACAAACAGTACTGTGCTTTACGTGAAAATAGGCTGTACTGACGACTAGAGACATGTGAAGTCTTCACTGAATGATACTACGCCAGAAATGCAGCTTCTACGTAGAGTAGGCCATTTGTATAGATGACGTTACCCTCCAACTATCACCTCCTGGTCATTATTAAAAAATTTCAACACTCATTCTGAAACGCAAACTATTGCAACATATATGTTAAGAGTCTGCCACAATCCGATTACATGACGTAGACATCAACATGACATAATAATAATAACGATAGTTCTTATCAATCCAGAAAATATATCTCGCAATTTAAATAAAATTTATTTACAAAAAAGGTTTACCAAGCAAAGTTTCGACAAAAATGGCGGATGAGTCCGGCCACTGTATTGGATATTGAATACTTTGTTTATTGAATTACAGTGAAGTATTGGTAGACGATTTTAAATATACGTATATGTTTTCGTTTTATTTTTGAGGATGCTACACATTTATGATAAAGATCCCGGTTATCGCACATCATTTCGAGCAGCTGATTTCTACTCCCTACTGTCGGCTTACGATGAAACCGCTAGTAGAAACCTCGGAATATCCCAAAATATTCAGGATGATGTTAGGCGACTTTCAGTTTTCCAAGGGAAAGGAAAACTTCCCAGGAAAGTAAGTCTGTTGCTAATAAGTCATATTTTAATGGAATATATTGTCGTTAGTTTTCCAGATTTATGAAACGGTTAGGTTTTGAATCTATTTTTATTTACCTCATAAATTAATTTAATACATTCTCAAGGAAAATTGTCTCAGAACTCACTCGTTTTGTACATAAATTATTTACGGGTTCATGAAAGTAGACCTCTTTCATTCATTCTGCCTGGTGACGATGTAGCTAAGTTTTATCTAAAGTTCACTTGTGACTCACATAAATAGTGGAAAATTTTGGTTATCCAAGATTTTCTACTTAACTTTTCTGTATATTGTCATTTGTTTCTCTTACCACCATCAATATTTTGTGTTTTATGGGGTTTAAGTTCAATTAAAGACGGCAAGCGTACATAGATGCAGGTAAATTGATTACATTATATTTTTAAATTATTTCAGTGTTAACAGAAGCTAACGGTTGACTTCTGAGTACAAACCCTTCACTTAGTACAACCTCTTAACTCTTATTCTGCGTCATATCTCATAGTAAAAGCTGAAACTACAACAGCTCTTTTGTCATCTAGAAGAAAGTTATCTGAAGTCTTTTGATATTATTTACGATTGGGCTTTCGTACTTGAACGTTTTCGATGAGTTAATGGTCAGTCTGCAATTATTAGGATATTGCAACATACCAAGTTATTAAACCTTCAGGCTCCCGAAAGGCTAGGCATATCGTGTCCAATTTAATATTTAAGTTAAAGATGCTATGAGTATGTTGTCTGTGATTTCTCTACATTAAAAACAGGCGGGTTAGTATCATTCAAATGTTTTTAGAAATACAATCTAAGAATTCAATGAAAACATTCTGTTCCTTCACATATCCAGAAATCACCATAATAATAAACACACGCTTCTAAGCAGTATGCTTGTGATAGACAACGATATCTCCTGAACTTAAAAGTGTCATAAATGGCAGCGTTTCTTGATTCTATATATTTTTCTGTTGATTGACTGAAGCATTTACTTGCAGTGCACTGAAAATCTCGGCATGTAAAACATTTGCTGATGGTCAAAACAACTGGTCACCTTCTTTAAAACCATGATTACATAACCGGACAAATAATTTCACTTAATAGAATTGGTAACTGTGAAGCACAATAGTCACCCATGAAATGAAAAATATTTGGAAATGGTTTCTAGTTCTACCACGGTTTTGCAGTTAATGGCAACAGAAAAGTGAAAATTGTTCCATTCTCGTACTTCTTAACTTTTAAGAATATCAGAGCAGTCTCCTGGTTAATAAATACTTTGATTTTTTAGTCTTAAGTTTTTAAAGAATACTTCATTAATTCCCAAGCAACAGGTTTTTGCTAATATTTGGAGGGAGGATAATATCAGATTCTCTAACTTATCGATAACAAATTGCAGGCTAAAGAGCTACATTGGGAAGAGTTTAATTGACGTGACATGATAATTTACTAAATTGCTTATGTCAAAATAATTTAAATTGCACTGCTTTAGGGAAAGAATTTGAAATTTATTATTTTTTTGTCACCACTAGTCTGCATTTCATATTAGCGATTAATCGCTTTCATATAGAAGTTTTTGTGTTCTTGAATAACTAACTATACGAAACCTTAGGTGATATGAAGGGTAAATAATAACTGGGGTGAAAATACTGACTGACTAGACAACAGGAGAGTTTGAAGAGGTATGTATCAAAAATTTAAGAATTTTCAGTCATCTTTTTTCACATTACAAACTGGAGGATTTGTAGAAGTACCTATTCATATTCCTCAGTTATTGTTTAGTGATTATATTCTATGTGGATTTAAAGCTATCCGAAGTTTATGCGTCCCGAATATCTGTGAAGTTAAACTTTTGTCGGAAATGAAAAAATATCTGCAGATATCATCCTGCCTGTGATAATCCAAACATACCCATGAAAGGTTTTTAATTTGTGGTTACGCATTTTCACCTAATCTGACACTGCTGCATAGACTTTTACTGCCATGTATTCCATCTATTTAGTTATCATTGACAGTTGACGTAAAATATGACTCATTTCAAAATTACAAGAAATTACGAAACATGATGCTACCGTATGTAATAACATTTTTTCCCACATATTCATGATTTTTATAGAAGACGAAAAATGCATTTATTGGCTTTTGAATCTATATTTGTATTAACATAAAGATTAAAGTAATATAATTCTCACTGTGATGCCAGTTTTTGGCGGCGAAGAATCTTAATTTGAAGGTTTGGTGACTTCATCGTTTCCTGTCTCACATTATGACTTCATTTTTACTTGTAATTTGCTTTCAAGTTAAGTGCTGAAAGACTCGTTTATGTCCATGTAATAAAATTCCTGCCACTAGTGAAATTAACAAACTTTAGCTGTAATTTATCTATAATTTGTTAACTCCAAAGGGTAATAATGAGTTAACTGTGTTTGGAGCCTGATCTCTGGAAAAGTTTGAGAGTTAAGGCTAACATATTTTTGGACGGTGAACATTGTAACACTTCGTATAGCTGATGTAACGAAAGAATAAACGCAATACAAAATTGCAGACAGTTTTGAGCATCGTTCAGTATGAAAAATAATTTATCACAAGGAAATTAAGCTTTTGCAAGTTTTGTTTTATCGGATTGTTTGAAAAGTCTAACTTATCATTTGCACTGTTAGATGCAAATTATGAAAGCTGAAGAAACTATGAAATTAATTTACGCATATAACATGAAACTTTATCTCATTTATAAGGTACCTAAATCTATATATCTACTGAGGTGTAATAACTTAACCCAGAGTAAACAAAAGATAGTTAATGTTTTTTCAAAGCAGTTATATTTTTTTAACTTTCGTTTTATCCTTTCACGTTCCCAGTAGAACATAGGGCTTCAAGCTAGAGGCTCGAGGTTTCTGTAGTAGCGGTGTCTATTTTTACTGGATGGGGTCGCTAGTCCGATGCTCAACCTTCTCTCTTTATCAGTCTTATTACTGGGTTAGCGAGGTGTGGGGGTGCGCCAGCCGGGGATCGAACCTTGAATCACATGTGTGGTTGGTGAGCGTTCTACTACTGTCCCACTGACACACTTTTCAAGGCAGTGTTTCAGTGTACTACTATTATCAAAACAGTAATTATTAAGTAGTATATAACTCAGAAATGAGAGCTGATTCAACCTAGATGTTACAAGTATTCATCCAATGAGATGCTTCGTATATGTGCTGATTGCATATTCTGATGTTCAGTGTCTAAACTATACTTATGTATATAAATAAGAATGTAAAGTACGAAATACAACGCCAACCTAATTCGTGAATATGATACAATTATAAGTGGATTTCGATGAAATTATTTAGGTATTTCAGCTGTGATGGCACATTTTTGGAGGCCTCAGTAAAACATCTGAACAGACAAGATAACTGGTAAGTGTGATAAGGGCTAGATAAAATATAAGAAAACATTGCCTTTGATTAATAATAAATCTGTTGGAGATGTAATTCATAAATTTATTTTTATTTCAGAACAAGGATGAAACCGTTTTCTCTAAGGAAATCAACACTTATGAATATGGCAGACCTAAAACACTTCAACCAACATTAACAAACAATGATTTCAGAGATATTGCAAGGCCTAATCATGTTACTCCCGTTGGACTTATTCAACAACACCGTATGGGGTTTAGCAGTTCACTTCCACAGGCATTGGAAAAAATTAGTCTTGAGTTGCACAATTCAAAACGATGGATCGACTCACCTATCAGTACTAATTCTAATATTAGTAGTAATCAGTCAAAAACGCCAACCAAGAATCAAGTAAAAAGAGTTGAAAGTTCACAAAATACAAGGAAACCAAGCATAATTGTTAGACAAGTAGATGCAAAAGCAGAAAGCATGACTATGGGATTGCCTAATTGCCGTGGTTTGCCAACGATTCCAAAAACACCTAGAATACTACGCACAAGGGTGTTTTTCAATCAGATAAAGATGGGGCTTAAGTAAGTTACTAGTGAATTCAGATAAAAGTGATGTTTGTCTTTTGAATTGATAATTTGTCACTTTAGTACACATGCACAACCCTGAATATAGCTAGGTTATAAAATTAATTAATTGATTAATGGTTTTTAACAGGTATTTATTCATAATTCGAACCAGTTATCCACATATGTACACATTGTAGGCTTTAGAATTACCTTATTTCTCATCAATGTCCATAGAGCTACCTCTATGGAATACAGGAATTGTGTTCGTGAATAAATTTGAAACTCTAGCTTTTTTCATTTAACCCTATTACTTTACCTCTATACGACTTATGATGTAACGAAATTGTAGAAATAATTTTTGAAGTTTTAAGTCAGACAACATAGCATCAAAGATAAGACTCCAAGTAAACATAGAGAAAACAGAGGTGATGAAGATTCCTGGCCAACACCAACAGCAATAACAATAACAGACAACAATCAGCATAAATGGGAGGAACCTGAAAGAAACAACCTCCTTTACCTACCTACCTACCTGGGAAGCATCGTTTCAACTACAGGCGGAACTGACGAGGATATCAAACCAAGAATCAGAAAAGCAAGACAAGCCTTCATTACCCTCAGGTCTGTGTGGAGGTCAACAGCACTCAGCATCAAAAATAACATCCGGATTTTCAACTCCAATGTGAAGTCATTCAGTGCTACTATACGGATCAGAGACTTGGCCAGCGCGTCATAAAGAGCATCCCAAAGAAACTACAGACCTTCGTTAACAGTTGTCTTCGCTCAATACTCAAGATCAGATGGCCAGAAAAGATTAGCAATAGGGATCTCTTGGAGCGAACCAACCCAGCAGGAACCAATCGTGCAGTGAATATGCAGGAAGAAATGGAGATGGATTGGCTGGCCATACTCTGAGGAAACAATCCATCAAGTGACATCACTAGACAAGCCATTGCTTGAGTGGAACCCGAAAGGGGAGCGGCGAGTTGGTCGTCAGTGCAAGTGTAACTTGTAGGAGGTCATGTGAAGAGGGGATGAAAGCATGTGGGCAGATCTGGAGCCAGGTGAAAACTCTAGCAGAGAACCGAAAGCAATGGAGACGTGCAGCTGAAGCCCTATGTTCCTCTAGGAATTAAAGGAAACAATAATAAATAATAATAACAATAACAATGATAATAATTTGAGATTAATTTTATGAATAAAGCGTTTATGATATACAGGAAGATAGTGATCCTCAGCAACTGAACCAAGCATTACTGCGTAAGGTATTCACTTTATCATAGCCCACGATGGTGCATCTAATGTATTGACTAAAAGAGCGTTTCTGTAAATAAACCTTGTCGTTAAGTGCAAATCACTTGCTGAGTGCAAAACATTAGTCTCAATGGAATGACAAAACACCTGACAACGATTTAGACTTTTGCCAGGCTACCTGGACTTCAAATGAATAAAAAAGTTCCTTGTTTAGGAACACTTTCATAGCTGATAGGCCTGAAGTCATGAACTCGGATTTTGTGCTTACCGGTACTCGTCATCATGGCGTATCTGAAACCTCGAGGGGACTAGTTTTCTTAATAAGTTTCATACCTGCGTCACTCAGTACTGCACTGATTAAGTCATTTAGGCATAATAGGCCAACGACCATAGAATACGGTTAGTTGTAATCTATTTCCTCTGCTTTTCCACCACTTATTTCAGTCATCCAATTTTACATTTCGACGAAAGAATTTATTCACCATTTGCTAGAGGATTTTACTATAAATCAGTTTTGCATCGCATATAATTGATATATTGAAATTCTTATTCCTTTGAAGAATACAAAGCCTTGGTGTGTTTTGTTTTGGGCCGCTTTTGTAACGTCATTAACTTTCTGAATAAGACAGATAAAGTGGCTTTTCAAAATCATCATCTTTTTACTGGAATTTGTACTCCCAAAAAGAGCTTTCATAGAATTTCTACCGAATTAAGAACGCTTTCTAAAGTACACAAGATGGGCACCCCACTTCGACCGATCCTCGACATGACTAATTCACCTTACCACCGCACTGCCCAATGGCTAGCAGACTTACTTGAGCCAATCAGAAAACAGGTCTCCCGTCACTCAGTGCGAGATTCATTTGAATTCGTCAACTGCGTCGAAAACGTCAATGTTTCTAATCAAAGGATGATCTCACTAGATGCTGTCTCATTGTTTACAAATGTTCCACTAACTGAAACAATTTGTCACATATGCGAGCTCATCCACTCAGAAGGAGTAAACATCGGCATACCCACGCTTAGTACAGTTGGAAAGTATACTAACTACGTTTTCGTCAGTGTAGTTAAATAGTAAGTTGCAAACTAGGTGGTCTTTACTCTTTGTGACACTCCCATCTAATATTGTATCCTGAAATATACCCTTGAATTCACTAATTATCTTGAAATGTATATTTAACTGATATGCATTAAAAGGAGTAATTGTGTGACAAGCATGTCTGTTAGCATGGGAACTAACTCGCCTATCAAAGATAACACTTGGAGTAAAGTGCTTACAAACTGACAGCAAAGAACAGAGATATCCCGGGAATTAAAAGTTTAACAATTCTTAAAGAAAGGAATCTGAAGAAAACGCATTTATGTAGGTTGCGTTCTAAGGAAAACTGAGGAGAGGTGAGACGAACTCAGTCATAAATTTTATCAGCCACAGGATATAGAAGTTGGAATCTATACAACACTTTACGGAAGCGCGTGAATTGATTATCCAGTTGTTGTTTTTTTTTAATCTTCTGAATTCAAAACGATAAATAAGTCTCAGGTATATAAAATAATCCAGAGATAATGAAAGCGCCTGAGGTGGAGATATATTCACAGAGTACCAAACATATTAATGAAATTTCCTATGTGAATTGACCATATATGTTAATCATGCCTATTTCTCGACACCGTAGAATGTAAGATAGCGCTGCAGATCTTGTCTGAATCAGCTCCAGATAAAACAAGAAATTAAAGTGGTGAAATGACTTGATCACTTTACTTAATGTGATAGTTGTACGATCCTTAAAAGACTAACTGTTGACAAGATTTTAACTGATATCAGTCCATGATCAGCTCGTATAAACATAACTAACCCTTACAAACCAAACTATAGAAAATTAATCTGATGCTCGCTAGTGACTTGCTACTGGGTGGAGTTTCTTGGAGATCTAGTGAGAAGTCGTGACCAGTGATGTCCAATTAGATGTCACGTGTGTGGATGGATGTCCCACCAACGACAATGGTTGGGGTCGCGCTAAATCACGACTTGGTAGAAGTTAGAATTCATGCACTGGACATTGAATCGGGTCCCAGTGGCTGAATGTTATACGAGCTCGGTGGCCTTGTAACCGGAAGGTCCTGGGTTCAAACCCCAGTGGGTGCGTACTGCCGATGATTCCCAAACTAGTCCAGTACTTCCTAGTTTTCAATGGTTCTCTAACTGATATCAGTCCATGATCAACTCTTAAAAACATAACTAACTCTTACAAACCAAACTATAGAAAATTAATAATAAAGAGCAATTTGTAGCCTGCAAAATTAATTCATTTTTTGACGGACGCGAGATGTTCAATTAGTCGCCACAGAGCGTTTATACCATGTAGCATTCAGCTGGTCATGCATTCTTAGTTAAAGTCATTAATATCATAAAATATTATTATTAAGTAATCAACACATTTTTAACCGTCATCGATTTATTGCATAAATAAGCAGAATAACTAAGATAAAAAGTGTACTTTAAACCAATCATGATCAAGAATAGTTTCTGTTACGACAACACAACAATCCAGAAAAATAATACTGTATTAAAGATTGAAATATATATATAGAGAATGACTTAAATGACTGATTAACAAAAATTTCGCGCAGAAATCCATCTTTCTAAATTTTTGTTCTGAGATTAAAGTTTGAGACGGTTTCCAAAGATATGCCTTTCTCAGTGGACAGAGAAGACGCATAGTATTGTAGAACTAAAAGAAAAGAGTTATTTAATACAATCTGGACTTTTCTGTCGACTGATTGGGAGGAAATGTTCAGTCTCAGGTTGACATGTCGGCTCCATGTTCGGATGCTTTAGTGATGTCTGATTGTTTAACTTGAAGTGATTTGGTGAATTGTGACCAGCAGTGGAATCTAGGATGCGTGTCTCGTCCTATTTGGGACTCATCATATGGATGTACCTGCACTCCCCAGTGTGTGATGAGTACTGGGTTTGAGCCTCAGTGGGAACACCAGATGATGAGTCCTAAATAGGACGAGACACGCATCCTAGATTCCACTGCTAATTACCCTTCACCAAATCACTTCAAGTCAAACTAAAAGAGGGCGTAACTCAAGCTTAAGGTTAGTATGAGAACAGATATCATGTGAGATTATGTAATATTCTGCTAGAAAATAACATAAGTACGATAGCTGTTTGTTGACTTATAGTAAAAGTGATAAACCAGTATAGGAATAAACGCACTGATTCAATCTGCCACAGTTTGAAACATCAAAGAAAGCGTAATAGAATAAAACTAAAGGAATGAAGAATAATGTTTAGTAATAAGAATAATTAAATATGTCTCAGTAAAAGCTCCTATAATTTAGAGGAAGATCAAAAAGTGAATAAATTTGCACTAATCTTTGAATACCTGTGCTTGATGCTTGAAGGTTTGCTTTGAAACAATCTGCACCACTGTGATATAGAGATGTACATCAACTAAACTAACCATAAAGAACTCCAGTTTATGTGTAACCTTGTATAATTGTCGAATGAATTTGGTTGACTTTGTTTCTCTTCTACTTTAAAATAATGAGAAAGTATACAAGTCAAATATCTTTTTTTAGCTAATAGTATCGATTCCGGGAACTTAATATAATCCCTAAGGAAGTATTAAACATGCTAAGACCCCTGAAGTACTCTTTCACCATCCCGACAACGACTTTAACGGATAACAGACACATTCAAACTAAGTGAAAAAAAGTTGATGTCATTGTCTTTTTCACATTGTGGGCCAGAAAAATTTAGATTGAGATGAGTACTTTTCTAACCAATAATTCTGGTTTTCAAAAAAGTGTCCAGTACTTTAGAATAAATTCCAAAAGTACTAAAATTAAAACGCAATTGACACTTAAGCTTTTCATCAGTCAATAGAGACATTTATAGATTTTGTCTTTCAGCAAAGGATAAGAAAATTAACATTTTCAATGGAAGAAACTAAGATATTAATGGAAACATTTAGGGAAAAAGTGAGTACTTGGTGATGGTACGGTCCAACTCAGCCGGTATAAATTATTATAGAATATGAGGAGGAATTTTAGGATTTTAGGTACTTTTCAGTTTTACATGGAATACGTTGGTGACCGTATCGCTTATTGGGGGAACCATATCAACCCTAACACACTGATTGCTGATGAAGCATTAGCACGGTTACAATAGCCTCGTGTAGCATTTGCCTACTTACGTCACCTCTGGCGTAAGTGTGATATCTGGCTATCAGTCAAGGGACACGTATCCCACACAGCAATTTACTCCGTCCTCCTTTGCACCTCTGAGACACAGCTACTAAAAGTGGAAGACCTGAAGAGGTTTTCTGTCTCTGATCATAGGTGTCTACTTTCATTCTCTCATTTTAAGTGGTATAATAGGGTGAGTAATATTGAGATTTGGTAAGTGTGTGTGGTGTGTGTTTGGTAAGGGGGGGGGGTAAGTCAATCGATGAAGTTGTGTATGCCGAACCACCGTCCTCCTCGACGACCAATGTTAGCTGACATAGGATCAAGTTGTAAAAGATTTAGGTAGGAGGAATAGATCAAACCAAAGCCTTGCATATGTCCACAAAGTCTCTGACAGTTGTTTAGAAATACACAGAGATGTGTAGACTGAGTGGCTGATTAGGGTCTTTGGGATACTACGAACTAATGGCTGGATTCAATTGGTGAGATGCCTCAAAATCATTCTCAATTATTATATTATTATTGTATCCTTTAATTCCTACAGGAACATAGGGCTTCAGCCGTGCGTCTCCATTGCGTTCGGTTCTCTGCTAGAGTCTTCACCTGGCTCCAAGTCTGCCCACACGTTTTCATCTCCTCTTCACATGACCTCCTCCAAGTCACCCTTCCACTGACGACCAACTCGCCGCTTCCCTTTCGGGTTCCACTCAAGCAATGGCTTGTCTAGTGATGTCACTTGATGGATTGTTTCCTCAGAGTATGGCCAGCCAATCCATCTCCATTTCTTCCTGCCTATTTGTTTCACAATCGGTTCTTGCTGAGTTGGTTCGCTCCCAGAGATCTCTGTTGCTGATCTTTTCTGACCGGCCATCTGATCTTGAGCGAAGTATTGAGCGAAGATAACTGTTAATCAAGGTCTGTAGTTTGTTTGAGATGCTCTTTATGACGCGAGTAAAAGTCTCTGATCCATCCGTATAGTAGCACTGACTTCACATTGGAGTTGTAAAACCGGATGTTATTTTTGATGCTGAGTGCTGTTGACCTCCACACAGACTTGGGAGAAATGAAAGCTTATCTTGCTTTTCCGATTCTTGCTTTGATATCCTCGTCAGTTCCGCCTGTAGTTGAAACGATGCTTGCGATGTCGGTAGGTAAAAGAGGTTGTTTCTTTCAGGTTCCTCCCATTTATGCTGATTGTTGTCTGTTGTTGTTGTTGCTGTTGGTACTGTTGACCAGGAATCTTCATCACCTCTGTTTTCTCTATGTTCACCTGAAGTCCTATCTTTGACGCTTCTCAATGGCGCAGGTGTATTCACTTTCTGTAATCTCACAGATTCATTAAATGTTTCTGACCCGTTCTCCCGTGCACTTCTGCTAATTAAATTCCTTTGAACTTCCTATTTTCCTCTTTTTTTGTCAACCTTTATTTGCTACATAGAATATGGCAACCTGAACTGGTGCACTTCTGTATGAAGTTCTAGGCTGAAACTCATTTGGTCAGTGAGTCAATTTGTCTTAGTTGACGGAATACAATCTCCTATTCGGTTGAGTTGAAATAATAAAAGCCAGTAAAACACCACAATATATATTTAGCATGTAGCCCATTATTTTGAATGCGTACCAATTACTTCTTGAATAATTTATTGATATTATTTTTCTAAATCTTTATATAAGTTTTTATGCAATTTTTTCATCACATGAAGAAAAAAAGCAACAGTAAAATTTACGATTTAACTGATTGTGAACAGTTTTACTAAGTTTTAAGTATGCCTAATACACACACACGATTTGATGAATTTTATTCTCCATGATTTTTCTCAGTAACAAAACTCACAGTTAGACAAATTTGTTCCTTCTTATAATATACATGTATTTCTATCATTTGAAGAGAAGTCGTGTGTTTATCAGACACCACTTATAAATACATAAGCAATATATCATAGCTACAAGTATAATCACTTGTGATGAAAATGCTTTCTTTCTTATATAAGTTTAGGTTATTTTATCACCAGTGAGCTATCATGTTGAAGATTTAAAAAAAACGAAAAGACAAACTATACCCTAATTTAAATTCTAAAAGTTTAGTATGAAAAAAACATACTAAATGTTATGTTTACAACAAGTATGTGAAAGAAGTTTACAACATGACGTGTTAGAATTAGCTGTTATGTTAATGTTTATAGAGATTCGATTGACTTCAAGTTTGATACCAGACTGATATCAGTTAAATAACCTTTGAGAACTGGGGAGTAATGACTCAGTTGTTTCGTTTTGGCTTGAGACTCTTCAGTGTCAAGCAACTTGAACTTTCAGGTTACAAGGTGAGCTCGTTTACCATTCAGCCAATAGGATGAAATCCAATGGCCCATGAATTCTAACTTCTGTCACCTCAGAAAACAGAGTACTACCAGGGGGGTCCATGATGTTCGATGTGAGGAGTTAAGAAATCTATTGTCTTGGCTTCTCTAATAATAATAATAATAATAAGCTTTATTCCAAAACAGTACTTGTGATATAGAATGGAATTCTCAGCATATTTTACTACAGTATTGCATCCAGTTAGTACATTATCAATAAATAGAATTCTACATAGATTAAGGAAACCACAGTTCATTATTACAGCAATACATTGGCATGTCGGTGGCAAAGGTAAGGCTGAAACAGTGTTTGAAGTTGTTAGAAAAGTGGGAGCTGTCTTATTAACTGGCGTAAGCGAGAGAAAGAAACAAAGCAGCACATAACGGGAAAAAAAGAGAGAGAAAAGGAAAAGAAAGAAAAAAATGTTGTACCTATTGATGATGTGAGTTGGAAAGACGAGATCCAGTTGTACTACTGACTATTTAATGAATTATAGGTGTCACGCCTAATGCTTTCTTTATCACACAGAACACGAGCTAAGTAGGGTATGGTTGAGTTTTGTACTTGCTGGTGCGAGCACATATAGTTTTCTATATAGGCTTCTGGCTTTACCCGATGAGATACAAAGGGGAGAGTTGTGAATGAAGAGGGTGCTGTGAGTTAGATAACATGGATTTAGCCCATTTTATCTCTAGTAAAGAAGCTGTTTCTTTCCTCTCTCTATAAAGCCTTCTAATGTACATATATATACAACTAAGATAAGCTCTATTTCTTCTTGTTTATCGATATTTTCTTTAGTCACTTCAATTGTAAACTAATTTAAGGAAATACACTCTGTGTATGTGCATCTCTTTGTGTGTGTGTGACATTGATATTCCATTGTATTCTGTATTTTGTGTTATTTTTTCATTTTAGGGAACATATAGAATGGCATACAACTCAGTTGCAACAAGCAGAATTGGATCAAGATATTGCTTTAGCGAATAAGGTAAACAGTTATTATTCTTCTTCTTCTTATTATTATTATTGTTTAATTGCATGGAGGATTTCATCATGAGCTGACATCAGTTAGAGAACCACTGGAAAACCTGGGGGTATTGGACAGCTGTTTCATCCTAGTTTGGGACTCTTCAGCAGTACGTGCCCGCCGGGATTCGAACCCTTGACCTTCTGGTTACAAGGAGGTCCTGGGTTCGAATCCCGGCGGGCACGTACTGCTGAAGAGTCCCAAACTAGGATGAGACAGCTGTCCAATACTCCCAGGTTTTCCAGTGGTTCTCTAACTGATGTCAGCTCATGATGAAATCCTCCATGCAATTAAACAAAATCCCTATGAAACCAATACTTGAATATTATTATTGTCTTTGATTTCTAACTCTTATAAGTCTATTTTTAAAAGTGATTTATATGAAAAGCTATGTAATAATACGATTATAAGGCCTTTAGAGTGAATAGAAGAAGAAGAAGCTTAACTCATGCCTAATATTAGTCTGTAGACATTGAGTAAAACACTAAATTCTTCAGTATCAATAAAATATGTTGCGTTTTTGTTGTTGTTGTTTCTTCTTGACTTTGCTTAAAATGTTCGATAGAGTATTTTAATGTAATTGTTCACTAAAATATTAATCCATAATACATATATATATATATTATTGTGATTATTGTTTTCGGTAGGCATGAATATTCACTCTTAAAAATAGATTAGATAGACATAAAGAGAGAGAGAGAGATAGAGAAAAAAGTAACTTGTTAGATTTTACATACTGTGTGTGATGTAGTTAGAGCATTTGTAGATTCGATTGAGTAATACCAACCAACATTAATTAATAACACTTGTAGACAGAGTATACAGTTAGTTATAGACGAGTTACACAGTATTACTGATGAAAAATTCTCTTATTCTCTGTTTTATTTTTTTGTATATGAAATTATACCTACATTAGACATGTGGATACACAAACCCCCGCCACCCCCAACCCATCCACACACACACATGCACAATGACAAATACTTACATAAATATACAAATGTACATGAATTAAGTAATCATGAAATCAGTGAGCTGATTAGAATATCATTTATTACTAAATTAGTTAATATAATTTACATTAAATTCACTCATTATTAAGTTGATAGCTTAGAAATAAAAAAATAGATATATTTGTGAAAAAGTCATTAGTAATTGAATACCTTTAGTATATATACATATGTACATACTTTCTCTTAAAATGAAATGCCTTAAAATCATCTGAGAGAAAAAATATTTCATCATTTCTATTTTATCATCTTTACTTCACTTTCGACGTTTACCTTTCTTCATAAAATACATACCTTTTTTTCAGGCATCAGAAAATGTCAACCAATTACAGCATAGATTGAATACAGTAAGTTAATTGTTTCATTTTGTCTATGTGTGTGTGTGGTAGTGTGTATTTTGAAAGTCGAAAAAGTAATTTTTGCCTATGCAGTAGATGACTGATTTCTATACTGGGACGGATGTGTGTGTGTGTGGGGGGGGGGAAACACAAATCATCATTTACACCATAGCTAAGGCATAGCTGAGGCGTTAGCTATCCAAAAGCTCAAACCCAAGCATTGTATCCAAAAGAAATAAGTCCAACCCCTGTCCCTGCCATGGCCATCATAAACAGCCTAGATGATGACTTCGTCGAAAAGAAAATTTCCTTCACTGCAATTGTCTTTTTAACTTACACCACTGTTGTGCGAAAAAAATTGTCATCAAACTCATAGATAATATCAATGAGAGACATGGGATTGTTTGATAATATTAGATAGTTGGAGGCAGTCGGCCACAGGAAGCCTTGCTCGACCTAGGTTTCGTGCTAGATGGCACTCACCAGTTAACAAGGCGTATCTGTAACCTTGAAGGAACTCATGTCCCTTCTGAGATTTGAACCCACGTCACCCAGTGCTGCATTCAGAGACGTTACCACTGAGCTATCCAGGCTCGCGATTCACCTCCTGTAGGACTGTGGTGGATATTTTGATTGGGATTATATTGTGTAAATTATTGAAATACTATAATAGTTAACATGCAATAGAAAGTAATGGGACGAATGTAGAGTATCTTGTCAAATAAACAGGAGACTGTACAGGAAAGGACGGAAAAATAAATAAAAATTAAGAAATGTGGTGTTCTCATTAACCATAAAACTTAGTAGACACAGACATCTTATCCCTATTAGTCACTACTGTACATATATGGAAACTATTTCAACACTATTATTATTATTGTAACCTTTAATTCCTAGAGGAACATAGGGCTTCAGCCATGCGTCCCCAATGAGTTCGGTTCTCTGCTAGAGTCTTCACCTGGCTCCATGTCTGCCCACACGTTTTCATCTCCTCTTCACATAACCTCCTCCAAATCACCTTTGCACTGACGACAAACTCGCCGCTTCCCTTTCGGGTTCCACTCGAGCAATGGCTTGTCTAGTGATGTCACTTGAAGGATTGTTTCCTCAGAGTATGGCCAATCCACCTCCATTTCCTTCTGCATATTTGCTGCACAATTGATTCCTGCTGGGTTGGTTCGCTCCCAGAGACCCCTGTTGCTGATCTTTTCTGGCTGGACATCTGATCTTGAGTATTGTACGAAGACAACTGTTAATGGAGGCCTGTAGTTTGTTTGAGATGCTCTTTATGACGCGCAGTGCAAGTCTCTGATCCGTACAGTAACACTGACTTCACATTGGAGTTGAAAATCCGGATCTTATTTTGATTTTCATGCTGAGTGCTCACTGTTGACCTCCACACAGACTTGAGAGTAGTGAAAGCTTGTCTTGCTTTTCCGATTCTTGCTTTGATATCCTCGTCAGTTCCGCCTGTATTTGAAACGATGCTTCCCACGTAGGTAGGTAAAGGAGGTTGTTTCTTTCAGGTTCCTTCCATTTGTGCTGATTGTTGTCTATGGCTTGCCCCAAACCTTTTTCAACCTCATTCAACAGCTGGCTATGTGACAATGGCACATGTTGAGTGATTCACAACAAAAAACTCAGTGAAGCTTCTGATGATATTCCTAATTGTGTACGTCAGACATTGCATGGGATCATTAAGACAGAAATACGTTGAACCGATAGAAAGATTATGGAATATCTGGACTTCGTGGACAATTTATCTGTCTAATGTCACATAAAATCAAAGACTTACCGACGAAAACCAACAAAATGGGAGAGAAGGCAACAAATGAAACGACTTCAGGTAAACATACAGAAGGTGGAGGTGATGAAGATAACCAACAAACAGAAAAAAGCATAAGTCACTATCAACGGGAGAAACTGGGAAGAAGTCATTTCTTTCAATAATCCAGACATCAGTGTTTACACTACAGGTAGCGGTCTGGGTGGGTATTTTAAAACCAGCCAAGATCGTAAAGGCAAGGCAGACCTTCATCAATCTGAAATCAGTTTGAAAATCTTTTGCACTCAGCTTAAACAACAAAATTCGGCTTTCCAACCCCAGTGTTAAGCCATCTATCCTAAATGAGTCAGAAACGTGGCTGTCACATCAAGGAAAGCATTTCCAACAGGTTAGAGACTTTTATCAATAGCCGCGCTCTGAAAATCAGATGGCCAGTAGAAATAATTAGCAAAAGAGAAACTCTGGGAATGGACCAATCAACAACCTGCTGCTCAACATATATTTAGAGGAAAATGAAGGTGGATCGAATATACGCAGAGGAGATCATTGGGTGATATCGCGCACCAGGTCATCATTTGAGCGGAACTCGAATGGGAAACGACGAGTTGGGCGTCTGCCGATTATATGGAGGTTGTGTGAGGAAGAGATGAGAGCTCATGGGCAGTTGTGGAACCAGTTAAAAGAAAGTCTGCAGGGAACAGGAAAAAGTGGAGATGTACTGCTGATTCCCTATGTTCAACTGTGAACTCAAGGGAATAATAATGTATACATAATCAAGACTATACAAAACATTCTGAAATGTGTATAAGGCTCGTTAGACCTGATTTTATTCCAGAAAATTGTCTAAATTTGGACACTTCATTACGAATCATCTCTGAAGTTACATTTGCAGAGAACTGCAGAGAATTTCTAGACTCACGTACGAAGTCTAGTGCTAAGTTATACGGTACTGCAGTGTTAGGTGACTTAGTATTGGGTCATATTTCAAACTTAATCTATGCATCTCGCTATAGACCAAAGGCCTGTGAGATATACACGGTTTAAGATGCAGTGGGGAATACTACTACAAATGTTATTGTTGTTAATTCATTATTCCACACAATATAGTTCTATGAAAGTTAGTGTCATATGAATAACACCTCCAGGTTCCACAAAGACTCCTTATATGCTTACTGAACAGGATCTATGAAAACATAAAAAACCTATTAATAAAAGGAAACACTGAAGCACATAAGAAGTAGAGATGATTACTTCTTTTTTTCTCACTGAACATAAGTGATTCTCAGAGTGAAAGACAATCAAAACTTCCATAGCCACCCACCTGATTAAAAAGAAACTAAATTAATAACTGTTCTCACTCAGTTTAAGACGATTTAATTGTTGTGTAAAAGTTAATTATTTGTGGCGAATTCACTTTATGTAACTCATAAATACTAAGATTTATAAAAAATCTTTTGTCTATTCCAAGCATCAAATAACTTGTCAACATTTAATACTTTGAAAGGATTTGGTGTTGATTTCTAATTATGAAAGTTTTACACGCCTACAACTTAAACAACACTCAGGTGATTTTTTTGCAATGATTCAGATATATAATAATCGTAAGAGCATAACGTTTATTTTGTAATGCGCAATATCCATCCTTATAGCACTACCATTTTTAGATCTACCTACTACGTCATAATTATTAACACAAACAATAAATATTTCTGTAAGTAGCAGATCTATCAAGCTTTATCAAAGATCTGATAAAAATAATAATAATAATTTCAAGTATTGGTTTTTGTAGGGATTTTGTTTGATTGGTTGGAGGATTTCATCATGAGCTGACAACAGTTAGCGTACCATTGGAAAACCTAGGAGTGATCGACCGATCCGGTGCTCACTAGCGACTGGCCACATTCAGGCAGTCACCTGGGGTTCTAGTGCAAAGCCGTGACCAGCAAGATACAGCAGGTTGAAGGTAAGGACAGTCACTCATCGAAGAAGATATCGAGAGGTGGTTGCACCACGTCATGAATTGTCAGAATGTAGAATTCATGGGCTGACTGGACATTGGATCGGATCTCAGTGACTGAATGGACTACGAGCTCTACAGCCTTGTAACCAGAAGGTTTTTGGTTCGAACCTTGACGGTGGGTACGTACTGCTGGAGAGTCCTAAACTAGACTGACGAAACGGCTGTTTGTTCAGTACTCTTAGGTGGGTTTTCCAATGGTTTTCTAACTGATGTCAGCTCACGATAAAATCCTCCAACCAAATAATAATAATATTAACAAGATCATTCAAATTGTTTCTAACTCTTTGATTTTTCTGATTCCTAGTTATAGCTGATATTTACAGACAAAATATAAGACAGCAAAATCAATAGTGTTACATTATTTAATATGACTGATGAAAAGCATATTTATAAAATATGTATAAAGGAATTTATAAATATCTTCACTGTTTGTTTGTTTGTTTATTTTTTTCACTTCATACGCTTAACAAGTTAAAACTATATAAAGAAAAAGTTATTTATAAACTATCAATTCATTAAATTCCAAAAGGAACACAGTGGATGTTCATTTCATTTAGTAAAGTTTGTTAAATCCAAAATGGGGATAAATCTGACACATATCAAGTAAATTACAACTGTGTCAACTTAGACAACTAGACTCCATTATAGATAAGATTTTATTTTGATAAATCACACAGTGTGTTTTACAGTAATATTAACTGATGACCACGTTTCGAGCACAAACTATTGCTACTCATAGTCATATCAAGTTACTCACACAACCTTTTTCCTTCATTTATATACATGTGTGGAATCGATTAGATATTGGAATAAAAATCAATATAAGATAATGTACATTGAGAAATAATAATATGAGTGTTATTGATCAAATACAATCAGATGGGAAATAAGACGAGTGATTTTATAGTCATAATAAGTAACTTGTTAGAATGTTGTGATGTGCTTGAAGTGAAATAGAATTTTGAGATTATTTATTATCCTCTTCTGATTTGACTGACTGGTGGTAATAATATCTTCCATGCATATCTCTGGTATTTGCATTGAGTCATTTCTGTTGTATGTGTTAGGTGTAAACTCGATGAACCAGGCAGGATTCAGTAATCAGTCTCTATCTCTCTCTACCTACTTATATTACCTTTTCGAATTTCGACTCTGTCCCACCCTATTGTGTGGTTGTATTTTAATGCATGCATTGCAATTGCT